GAGGAAATGTCTGTTGCCCAGAACAACGATCCTGAACTCGCTCAGCTTCGATCGAATACCACATTGAAATTCTTGCAATTACCAATTTTAAACTCAGACGCAAGGATTTACTGCGATGTCTCCACCGGTAAGCCAAGACCGTTTGTTCCGCAGTCTTTCCGGCGAACCGTCTTTGACCATTTTCATGGACTATCGCATCCTAGCATTCGATCCACTGTGAAGTTGATTACTGATCGTTTCATCTGGCCTAGTATGCGCTCTGATATCCGCCAATGGGCTAAACACTGTCTCAGCTGCCAGAGCAGCAAAGTACACAGACACACTATTTCTGCCCCCGGAACATTCTCACTACCTGAGGCACGTTTTAGTATGGATGAAGTGGTGGCGAAGCAAGTTGGCTGCATCTTTTGCGGTTTGCGCACGACCATCTGTTGCACGTAAAATTTGGGATCCCGCACTGCACGCTGCGGAGCTGTTGACGTGTCTGTTCGGCAACTTTGGATTTACACTGAAGTTTGACGATAAGTTCTGTTGGTGCTGGAGTTTGTAATCGCGGAGCAACTTGACGCAGTGGTTCCGTAGCGTTGTGTAAGCACCGCAGGTCAAGTTACGTGGACAGGCTTTGTAAGCGCGCCAGGCTGAATCTCCTAAGCCCATGCATTTTCTAGTACGGCTCCTCAGGAACGAATTCACTTGCTTTTGGCGGAGGACTTTGCTTTCTGACGCATTTGCCGTTAGCTCAGTGAATTGGGTGACGAGCAAGATCCAAGCTACACTGGGCGACCCCTCGGCCAGGAAGGACCAGTCGGTTGCCTGAACAAAGTGGGGCAGTTTATCGTAGTGGGTAACGACATAGGTTTCCAGGTTGTTCTCCCCGATGTACTCAGAGTAACTGAGGTAACGAAAGAGCAACGTCGGGTGATCGCTACGGCCAGGTGGTGCAGCTATGGTCACGGTGTCGACCATTAGTTCCTCGTTGGAGAGCACAAGATCCAAAACGGAGGGTGTGGCACGTGTTCGGAAGCGTTTGGAAGAGGTGAAAATTGTATAGAGGTACATCAGCAATCACCTCTTACAAATCAGCCTTGAATTGTTCGCATTGCTATGCTGGAACTTTGATTGCGTGCAGGTTGAAGTTCCCCACCAGGACGTTGCATCACAGAAGCTAGGCATTGATCCATTTCCAAGGTGGACATTGGAAGGCCGTAAACTATTCTTAGTAAACACCTATCACCACATCTTAGGTGCATACGACACCGAAGAGCGTCGACCACATGCGTTTCTGGGTCCTCAATGACATCAACAAGCAAGTCGAGAATAAAGTATTTATTTATTTATAATACGGGAGCACTTCCCCTTCTCTGCAGATGACAGCGGTTGACTTTCCGGCGTCGGGACTTGCCGATTACGGCAGCTATGAATCGACATAGCATTTAAGGAATCCGTAAAGGCAGTGGAGAATGTGTAGGGCTATATCGCAGTTAGCTAACAATTCGTGATGGTCGGCTGCCGTCCTCCATGGCTCAGTTGCATAGGCTGCGGGCTAGTTGGCACAAGCCACTAGCAGTCATGGGTTCGATCCTCCGTAGAGGACCGAAGGATGCGCACAACTGACGAGCCTCAATAGGGCGAAACAGCCGTCTGGTGCTTTTCCGGATAGGTAGTTGATTTATCTGAAATGTCGGCTGACTGCGGCGAACAAAAATACTCGCCAAAGTCATTCGACTCATAAGTAATTTGAATCAGTCGGCATGAGGTCGAGGATTGCGATGCATACTGAAGCCATGTGTGTAAGCAAATAGGCGGTAACATATAAAAACCCTACAGACTGCGAAGTAGTCTTACGGAAACAAACGGTAGAATCCACTTGAATAAAGCAGACACAGGGGTTAGACACGTCGAATTATAGAAATAAAAAGTGACGGAATTTGCACCTAACTGTTCACAAATAAGCTAATCAAACACGATGAAAACCATTACCTTATTCAGAAACTACGGGGTTGGCAATTAATGTAGAGGCCCGTGACCTAATAGTTTTGAGTCGGGAGGCCAAAGCCAAGTATAGGGGAAAACGAACAATAGAAAACAATCAGATACACTTGCTTTATAGTTCTTCCTTCAGTTGCAGTTCGTGCGAAGTCGGCTAGCGCTTCGAAGATATAAATCCGACTATTATGGAGGAAACACAAATACAGGCAGCAGCAAAGGATACCATCATGACGCGAGCACGTTGAAACAGTTGTATTCAAAATTTGTAAACTTTAGAAATGGTAAGAAATTGTCGGTAACAGGTGGTGCAAACAAAGATAGACGATAGTGTAATCACCACCGCTACAGTACTAATGAGAAGCATCCTAAACAATCCAGACGGTCAACGTACGACTTTTTATGTTGGCTGTCGGCCGTTCAGGTGTCAAGTCTTTAACCTTCCCTTAGTAAGCAACATCATTTTGAAGCTAGGGTCCCCAGGACTGTATTTCAAGTGCGGTCGAACCACCATCTGCCCATGCCAGGAAGAGCGTGCCACGCAAGGCCGAGAATACCTATTCATTTATCTTTTTAGCTGGTATAAATAAGTCACTAATTTATTATCGAATTCAGCGAAGCACACCAAATCAGGCATGATTACAAGTTACAAGCAGTTATGTTGCATAACAGGCACGTTGCAATGCAAGTAATTGGCTGTGGCCAAAAGTTTTACAAGTTGCAGTAAGGGAACAAGTACTTTTATGGAACCAATGCTTCTGTGTGGTGACGATAAACTGGATTCGTGTGGGCACCGGTAGATAATACATAATAAACAATTACATAGTAGGAGGAACTAGGTACCACAGTATGCAACCACCTATTTGCTAGTGTTTACCGCTACATTCTAGTCTGTGCGTGTGCTTGGTTGTTTCGTGTTGGTTGCTCGTTTTTCTGAAATTTCCACAGATACGGTGGCCGGCGCATGACGGTTCCTCATCTGGAAACGACTGATCCATCCCCAACGGCCCGCCGATTTGAAACACTTGATGTCTTATCCGGGAGGTCAACAGCAAAGTATCGGTCCGATGCTTCTACTTACCTTTGGAAGGGAGCATCTTTTAGGCAAGTTGAAGCGATGCCGCACGCACGGTTTTAAACAAACGGGTTTACCTCCCCTCGCAATCACCGTGGCACAATTTACTCACTGGAATTGTCCTTACTCGGATCGCTTGTTGCACTATGGAAACAGCTTCTACTCACACAATTAATTTACAGGACATGGACAGCTTTGCTGTCTTTCACTGATGTTCAAACATTTGGGTTCGGCGCCTCAAATTCCAACAAGAACATTTTAATACACCTCTTCCCTGTAGCTTTTCTGATGGCATATCATGGAGCCATTACTAGACCTAAAGCCTATTTCTCTTGATAATACCACACGTGGAGGCACTTTGCTCCCATTCTGCAGCAATCTGTGCTTTAACGTAACCTAAAGTCGGGGTTCGGCCCTGGTACTCTGCAATTCCACGTCTGGTCTAAAAAGTATTAATATGAACTTCCTGTGGGTCCAGAATTTGTATTCGGAATCGCAGTTTCGCCTGATGGGACAAAGTTAGCTACAATAATCAACAACGCTCTCCATCTGACATGTTCAGGGCGCATACCTGTAAACGAAGCCTCCCTGCCAGGACCAGTATACTACAAAAAGAAAGCCAATTTCTGTTAATTCGAAATCCTTACACGGCTGCGTAGCCATTCAGCCGGATTTCCTGGCCATTCCATCTCATGACCGGTTTCCACCATGAAGGGCGGACCTGGACCGGACAATTCGATGAGCCAGCGCAGAGAACTGGAGCTCATAAGACTGCAAATAGTCCAGGGTGCATTCGGTCCGTAAGGTACATTGCCAGTTAGAGGGTACCATTCAAACAGATTGACAACAGTGATCCATGAGGTGGTGGTTTTTGCCTCACAAGCCTTCTCCTTATAAAATGTCAAAAATGTCTGTTTATCAACACTGCAACGTGGCGAATGTGAACCGCCACTGAGTAAAGTCACTGCCTAAAAGCACACACTGGCAAGTTGTCAGGGCGACATTTCAAAGCAATTTAGTACATTTTGGATATGTACCCTAACAAGTCACCTTTCTTTCTGCTATCCGACTCCATTCTATATATTATGTTGTTACACCTTTTTGAACTCAGACTTACGCCACCTCATTAAAGATTCCGTTCCTGCTCAATGCATCCGCCATTTCGGTAGCCTCTGTATATTGTGCTAACAGCGTATTTCATGCAAAGCAATGTGCCTGTTGCGCAACGATCCCTTGTAAATACTTGATCATGCCAAATAGGTGTATCTCGAAATATTCGAAGCAAAAATATGTGTTTATTTATCTATTTATTTACACTAAACAAAAAATACAGCAGATAAAGTGGTGACAGTACGCGTGGTATTCGTCGAGAGAATAGTGAAAACTGACAAAAGTCAATATGCCAGTGTGTGCTTTTGGGCAATGACCTTACACAATTGAATAAATAAATTCTAATTCTCAAATATGCGAGGCAGCTCCAAGGAGGCATGAGCAAATAAGTGTAACTGTACAAACATTTCATGTCAATTGTAACAGTGACTATCGAATATTGTTCAGACGTTCATGGTTTAAACTGTACAAGTGAAACAAAAGTGAAACAAAAGTGAAACAAAAAGTAGATTCAACCGTACTAACGGTGCGGAGCAGATATTTGTTTGTGTCGCTTGTACATTGCTAGCTGACGAACACCTACAGGTGTTCGGGAGTGTAAATTGGTAATTACAACTTTACACTCCCGATTCAAAACCTATTATATCATTAAGTAATAAATTTTGATCAGTGAGAAAATTCTAGCAACAAAATAGATAGCTTAGCCGATTATGATGTCAACTCATAGATACTGCATGATTTAGTCACAAAACATGAACATTACTTTAGGTTGCTTAGCGAAGCAAGTAGGACAGGCTATGCTTAACATGCAAATTGCAGTACTACTTACTTTATGGCCTTTCAGTCAAATTCTACTATAAAGCGGAGTAATAACGCCAGAAAGAAGTTAATGGTAGGCGAGTGAAATCGTAGTATTCGTTAAGAATAATTGAATATTAGGACATAGAAGAGAGCGAAGTTGCATCAAAAAGCTGAATGTTCTAAGACAAAGTGCTGTCTTTTATCCATGCACAAATTCAGCGTGTGTAGTCATGACGTTTCGTTGAATACGCGGGTGAAAAGAGCTAGGAATTTGGGCGCGGTCTTTTGGTGGGGAAGACTTCTTGCTATCATTAAAGTTAAATTCTATTTATTATCCATGTAAGGCTTAGGTTGTAACGGCGTTTTAAGGACGAAGATGATCATGCAATCAAAGTTAAGGTTAGGGTTATGGTTATACCAAGGCACTAACCCAATTAATTCCGCCATAGAGCAATGAATTATGCCACCAGCGGGAAAGCCTTCAGTATATAAAAGACTAACTAGAAAACGGTCTACTACAACCTACTGAGATGTTATGCCGGGAATGTTACTAACTATGATATATACGCGGGGCTTACATCCGTAGATTGTAAAACCATATTTCACTTTTAATTTCCCGCCACCCGCGCAATTGACGAAGCCTAATCATGGTAACTAGTTTTCATAAATACATTAGGTTATACATTATTGTTTTGCCCATACAAACGAGTGTCGGGACAAACCCTATATTGCCATCACATGACTACATGAGTGTAGCTTAAAAGCGATTTATTTTCAGAACTATTTTTAGCTTTTTTATCAATATTTTGCGAGGCGGGTCAGGTCTTTAGGGACGAGACAGTCGCCCAAACGAGTGTCTCATTTCGTGTCCCGGCTAGCAAGCCAAGGCCGCCGGCACTTCGACGTTCCAGCTTCTTCACTTATGCAGAGCCAAACAAGTTTTGGAGTGGTCTATCATTACTTAACGAAACAATTCATGACATCCTATCGACCTCGGAGTAGGTGGTACTAATGGGAATCCACTATGTCCAGTGCATTTCGGAAAACAAAATGCCATTTCATTTCTAGACCACTTTTAATGGCTTCTATGGTATTAAAATCCACTAGCGCCTGGGTAATTAAATTCCAACTACTTACTACGCGCTTATTGACAAATTTCGCACAGATATCCAGTCTAAACCTCTGTTACATCAGCTTCAGGGGTCATCCCGCAGGTGATTCGACGTAGCTGGTGCAACGAGATTGAAAGGATTACTGGAAATGAGACCCTTCATAATGTTGAACGTTTCTCTCAAGTCTATTCTTAGGCTGCGTCTTACCCATGAGAACAGACTAAACAATCCAGGCGGTCAACCTACCACTTTTCACGCTGGCCTTCAACCACTCAGGTACCCAGTCGTTGTAGCTTCTCTTAGCAAGAGGACCGTTACCTAATAAGCTGTAGTCCGGAAGCAAAGGATGACCTTATTCAAAAACTCATACTAAAAGGACAGGTACAACTACGTTATAGTTCGTCTTTCATTTACTGTCAGTGTGATGCCGACTAGCGTTTCGAAGCTATAACTCTGATTGCTGGAAAGGCAGCACAAACACAGGCAGTAGCAAACCACACCGACAAGACAAGAGTGCATTGGATTTGTAACATTCAAAAGTTGTGAACAGATGGTAAAAATGGTTGTCAACGGAAGTGATAAATACAAAGATAGTGTAACCACAACCACTAGAGAACTCTCCTAGAGCGCGTGCTAGTAAGCAACGCTCGATATGGCTTTCAAGGAACATATTGTGCCAGTTTGGTGGTGAATTAATAAATATGACCTGAATGTGTATGGATAGGATCGTTTGTTGGAGAGCACAAGGATTCCGGGATTTTGGAATCAGTCAAACATTTGTCAGTAGGCACTAACCCAGGAACCGGAGTTCTGTGAGTGCTTGCGCTTGATTCTGAACCGTACAACGTTGACTCGAGGTATGCGGGTTAAAGACGATCAATGCTCACGGATTCCTTGAATACATTCTTCGCTAGGACGAAGTACTTCGGGTTCTACGATAAGAGTTTGAATGGACCTTCATAAAGCGGCGTCAAGGTCTTTGAAGAGCATCGATGCGGATAAAGACGAATGGACAACTGTGTAAATCCGGATGTATAGGCTGCTCGCGCGTGCTTAATAGAGGAGGTGTCGATCTATTGGATCGAAAATGCTGCTTAGGTTTTCAGCTAGGACGTAGGACACAATTGGCAGATGATTCGTGAGTCAAGTACTATCCCGCCTGAGAGCCTGAGGGTGGTGCCAAAGACAAGTTCTGCTGGGCAGCACGCGATATCTTCTTTAACGGTATGGTAACTATCAAGAAGAAAAGCTAGGAGACATTCAGACTAACGGGCATCAGGCGAAGTAGCCGTGATGGCGGCTTTCATCAAGGATGAAATCCTTTGCCAATGCCATTGGCAGCAGGATGATAGGCAGCTGTCGGGAAGTGAGCACAACCAAGTAACCTACTCAAGTTACGAAAAAGGCTGGAACTGAAATGGCTGGCACACGGAAGAATGAACTGCACTATTCAACGAAAGCGCGAATAACAGTTTCGGAGGATATGTCACATAAGGGAAGCTCATAGGGAAAACGAGTAAAACGATCAACACTAGTCGTCAGATAAGTGAAACAGTTAGAAGCAGGTAACAGTCCTGCTACATCATGACGCATGTATTTGGTCCGGGCTTCATAGAGTGAAAAGTGTCAGGAATTTTAACAGGGTGTCAGAAAACCATGCTGGGTTGACAACTAAGACAAGTCCTGACCCATGGGCGAATGTCTGCATGCCTCTTGGGTCATATGTAACGGTCGGTAATTACTTTCACAGTAGCTTAAATAGCTGGGTGCTATAATACCTAAAGCTGGTCAAAACGCCTTCGCCAGTAGGTCTGTTGAGCAAAAGGTATTGGTGTACCGGTGGAAATAGCGCAGTAAGTTCTTGCGCTAGGATTGAGCACGCGTAATTACAGAAGTTTTAACGTGTCGGTCGATCAAAGTTGCGTTAATTCTGTGTCACCGGCTTAGGCAACAGATGTTGCTTTAAGGTCGATGGGCAAGCATGAAAATTACTGGATAGGAGAACGGGATAATGTATCGGCAAAAACCTTGTTAGGGCCATCAATATAGCGAATGTCAAAACAAAACTGGTAAGATAATCAAGGTGACGAGTCTGGCTAGTGGAGTCACGGTCAAAACTTACACGAAAAGCATGCACAAGAGGCTCATGATGTGTCAAGATGAGAAAGCACCGACCTTCAAGGATATGAGGAAAATGATTTACAACCAGGTACATGACAAGGAGCTGGCGACCGAAAGTACTGTACCTGGTCTGGACAGGTTGAAGCTTTCGTGAGAAGAAAGGCAAAAATGGACTTTCGTTACCCACTAGCTGCTGCAATACGGCACCCACGGCGGATTTTGAAGTATCTGTCTTGCTAATGAGACTGACGTTATCGTCTGTTCTGATGTAGACCAGTGAAACAGTTTGGCTCAGTTTTTGCTTGACTGCGTTAAACGCTGCCTCGGCGTCTGAAGTGAACCTAAATCTCTTGGGATTGCCTTTAAGCAGACCAGTTAGAGGTTGAAGGGTTGCAGCGCAGCCATTTATCAACCGTCCGTAGTTATTAACCATGTCAAGAGAACGGCGTAGGCCCCTATCGTATTGTGGCGACGGATAATCCAGCGGGGCTTGCGGTTTATCGGTCAAGGGATTACTGCCGTTCTTGTCCATCCTGTGACCAAGGCAGTCGATGAAAGGTTGGTCGAATACACCATTTTCAAGGTTAATGATGATACCATGATGTACGAAACTTTCGAAAACTTTTCGTGGATGTGTTAGGTGTTCGTGGACAGAAGCATTTGCAGCTACAACATCATCAATGTAAACAAAGACAAAGTCGAGACAAAGAAAACTTTTGTTCATGGAGCGTTGGAAAGCTTGCGCGGCATTTCGGAGACCGAATGGCATACGGAGACTCGTACAAGCCAAATTGGGTGGTCACTGTCGCTTTTGTGATACCTTCCGGGGTAATTGAGATTTGCTGGTACGCCATGACAGGATCAATCTTAGAAAGACCAAATTTCCAGCCAACCTTCACGAAAATTCGCGTATAGGTGGGATCGGGTAGCTATCGGAAACTGTGGCGCTATGCTGTGCTTGACAGTCGCTAGGTTGGCGCCAAGCACCGGCTTTTTAAGCATAAGATAACGTAAAGAAGACTAAGAGCTGTATGAAGTACGAATAATCCCGGGCTTGAGCAGATGCTCGAACTCCTTTCGTACTGCCTGTAGTTTTTCAGGTATACGCCGTCGTGGTTGCGCCTTCACGGGTAGGCCAGTTGTGAAGATGTACTACCGTACACGGTGCTTGCTTTCCGTCGCCTTGTTATTTACTTCAACTGGTGATGTAGAATGCTGCAATAAGGCGGAATACGGCGAAAGATCAAGCATAAGCACTCGAAGTCCGATGAACTTAAATGCAGTAAGCTTGCCGGCAACAGTTAAAAAAGTAGTACCATCACGCAACTTTCCGCAACGCAGGTTTACTATGATGCCAGCTTTACTAAGAAATTCGATACCGTGGATAGGCTTCTGTAGTCAGTATTCGTAAACATAAAAGGAAAGCTACGACGTAATCCAAGACTGTGCGTGAGAATTTTCTGGCCATAAGTCGTGATGTACGTCTGGTTAGCAGCCTGTACTGTCATTCCAGACAGCAAGTGATTTTCCAAGGAACGAAGTATGACGCTTATCTCCGCGCCCGTGTAACCCAAAATGTGGAGTTTGGTCATGGAATCGAATACGTAGTGGAGACGGCTACTAATTTGGCCAGCTGCAGCCGTCGTCAGTAGTGGCTGGCTTAGACCTTTTCCGGTTTGGATTTAACGAAGGCTTGGAGTGAGTACATTATGGACGGCAGTTTCGTGCGGCATCCCCAAAGCGGTAATGGAAGTAGCAGTAAAAGCGCGATGATCGTCTGCTGGAGTTGCTGCGAGGCCTGCTCCTGGAAGAGGATCTTTGGTTTCGTACTCGATCGCGGCTAAGGTGCAACATACTGAGCTCCAAATATGTGTGACTCTCACTAATGGAATAGAGTGCGGCACTCACTAAGTTGCTTGGTTTGAGTGTCTCATCCACATGCGTCACAGCATTTTTAAAGGAACTTTCATGCATCTTGACGGCCGCTGCAGCCAGCTTATA